GCCAAAGTTGACGCCATCTTGAAGATGCCCGAGCCCAAAAATATACATGAACTGAAAAGTCTACAAGGAAAATTGGCGTACCTTAGAAGATTCATCTCAAATCTAGCAGGGAAGTGCCAACCTTTTAGCCGGCTCATGAAGAAGGGTATACCTTTTGATTGGGACCAAGCTTGTAGCAATGCATTCCAAAGCATCAAATCCTACTTGATGAAACCTCCAGTTCTGGCAGCCCCTATACCAGGAAAGCCATTGATTCTATAGATTGCAGCCCAAGAAAGGTCAGTAGGAGCCCTTTTGGCCCAGGAAAATGGTGAAACGAAAGAAAATTACCTCTACTACTTGAGTAGGATGATGACCCCAAATGAGCTAAAGTATTCTCCGATCGAAAAGTTATGTTTGGCATTGGTTTTCGCAATTCAAAAGGCTCTCATCTCAAGGGCGAACCCGATCAAGTTTGTTATGTCAAAACCCGTCCTCAATGATCGATTAGCAAGGTGGTATCTCCAATTTCAACAATTCGAGATTGTGTATATCCCACAAAAAGCTGTGAAAGGACAAGCTTTGGCAGATTTCTTGGCAGATCATCCAATTCTTGATGATTGGAAGTTGACTGATGAACTACCTGATGAGGATGCGATGGTCATCGAAGTGAAACCACCGTGGAAAATGTATTTTGATGGTGCCGCACATTGTGAGGGAGCTGGTGCAGGTGTTGTGTTTGTCACTTCTCAAGGGGAAGTCTTGCCATATTCCTTCACCTTAACACAACATTGCACCAACAACGTTGCGGAATATCAAGCACTCATACTTGGGCTTGAGATGGCCATTGATATGAGACAACTCCAATTACATATTTTTGGAGACTCTGAGTTAGTGATCAATCAATTGCTAGGTAGCTACGAGGTCAAAAAGCTAGAATTGCGTCGTTATTATGATTATGCACAGAAATTGATTGGATGGATTGGCAATGTAACTCTTCAGCATGTGCCAAGGAAGGAAAATAAGAAGGCTGACGCCCTAGCTACTTTAGCTTCAACATTGACTCTGCTCGGCCAGAAACAAATCACTATCTGCCAAAAATGGATAGTACCGCCAGATGAGAACGAGGATGAAGAAAGCAAGCTCGAGTGTTTGGTAGCCGTCGCTGAAGCTGTGAAGGTTGATTGGCGACAAACCATGATTGACTACTTATGTTATGGGATACTTCCAGAAGATCCAATAAGAAAGACCGAAATTCGTTGGCGTGCCCCTCGCTTCCTTTACTACAAAGACACTTTGTATCGAAGATCATTTGAGGGAGTTATCTTACGTTGTTTAGGGGAAGATGAAGCAACTCAAGCTATGCAAGAGGCACACTCTGGAGTTTGTGGATCACATCAATCCGGGCCGAAGCTCCACTTCCACATTAAGAGGATGGGTTACTATTGGCCGACAATGGTGAAAGATTGCTTAGATTATGCTCGGAGATGCAAGGCTTGCCAGTTTCACGCAAATTTTATGCACCAACCTCCTGAAATGTTACACCCTACCGTTGCATCGTGACCATTTGATGCTTGGGGATTAGATATTGTTGGACCACTTCCAAAATCTTCTGGAGGACATCTATACATCTTGGCCGCAACTGATTATTTCTCAAAATGGGCAGAGGCCGTTGCTCTCAAGGAAGTGAAGAAAGAGAATGTTGCAAACTTCATTCGAGTGAACATCATATATCATTTCGGCATTCCTAGTTATATAATCACAGATAATGGCAAACCGTTCGATAACAAATTGATGATCAAGATCTGTGAACTTTTTGGCTTCAAGCAACGTAATTCGTCAATGTATTATGCTGCTGCAAATGGACTAGCCGAAGCATTTAACAAGACGCTTTGCAACTTGTTAAAGAAGGTCGTCTCCAAGTCTAAAAGAGATTGGCATGACAGAATGGAAGAAGCTTTGTGGGCATATCGTACGACTCATCGCACGTCGACACAAGCAACTCCTTATTCTCTTGTTTATGGAGTCGAAGGAGTTCTTCCTGTTGAGCGTCAAATACCGTCCTTGCGACTCGCTGTCCAAGAAGGTCTTATTGAGGAAGAAAACGCTCGCCTACGCCTTGAAGAACTTGAATCCCTTGATGAAAAAAGGCTAGAAGCTCAACAAAGTCTTGAATGTTATCAAGCTCGACTTTCTCGTGCTTTCAACAAAAAGGTTCGCTTGAGGTCCTTCCAAGTTGGCCATCAAGTTCTTGCAGTAAGAAGACCTATTATCACCTCTCGCAAATCTGGGGGCAAATTCACTTCAAAGTGGGATGGTCCATATGTTGTGCAAGAAGCCTATTCAAGTGGAGCTTACAAGTTAGTTGATGCAGATGGCATGAGAATTGGCCCTATCAATGGGAAATTTTTGAAGAGGTACTATCCTTGAAGGATAAACGCTCCTCGACGCACGAGCCTAAACTGCACGAGCCTAAACTGCATGCTGCTACGCTCCTTGACACAAGAATCTAAACTGCATATTGCAATGCTCCTGGCTCGCATGAGCCTAAACTGCGAACGGCACCCAAAAAAAAAAGGAGTCCACTAGGTCGAAAACCTCGAAAGAGGCGGCCTCGGCAAAAGTTAAGACACCAAAAAAAAAAACTCACCTATTTTGAACTACGTTATGACTTGATCCTCTTCACCAAGGTACGTAGGCAGCTTAGAGTTTTATTCTAAGTTCAGTCGCATAAGCTTCAAAAAAAAGTGTGGAATACATGATCTGGAACTTTGACTAATCCAGAAGGTCTTATGCCGCAAAGACTCCTATATGCATGCGAATCTGGAAGTTCACTGCAGTCGCGTCAACTTTGCGAATTTTCTGTTGGTAGAAAAAGTTCTTCCATGAAATCCATAGATACTTCAGGTCTCTGAGTTTGCTTTCTAACGGCACGGACGGATTGCAATTCCGACACTCGAAGCTCAAGATACAATTATTTTCGCCGAAGGTATGCAAATCTGAAAATTCACTGCAGTTGAGTCGACTTCGTAAATTTTCTGTTCACATTCCAAAAAGAGTTCTGTTATGAAATTTATATGAGTTTTAGATCTCCGGGCCTTCTTTCTAACGGTACAGACGGATTGCAATTCTGACACTCCAAGCTCAAGATACAATTATTTTCGCCGAAGGTACGCAAATCTGAAAATTCACTGCAGTTAAGTCGACTTCGTGAATTTTCTGTTCACAGTCCGAAAAGAGTTCTATTACGAAATTTATACGAGTTTTAGATCTCTGAGTCTATTTTGTCACATCACAAAAGGCTTGTGATTTGGATGCTCCTATCTCAAGATGTGATTTATTTTGCACAGAGTGCGCAAAGCTGTGAGCTAAACACGGGCCAGACGTGTAGATCGACTTTGAAGATTAATTCCAACTGATACAAAAGGAGATTCGTGCTAATTTTTTGATATATTTCAGTCCTATGAGTCTAGTTTTAGTAGAAGCAAGCGGCCTATGATTTGAAGTCTCCTACAGCAAATATGAATTCTTTTTCGCGAAACAACAAAACCAACATACAAGACATATGCTGAAATTTAAGAAGGAAATAATTGGGAGTAACAGAGGGAATCCAGGTCTCAAAGAGAAATATCACATATTAAAAAAAATAAAATAAAGATACTTTTATTGCTCCAGACATAAGTACTCCATTACATGATATTAGTTATAAAAAAAATCGCAAGTCGAGAATCCTAAGAAAAAAAAAAGAGAAAAAAAAACTCTAAAATCATGGAAAAGGTTTGAAGCTAAGGATTTGCTGGCGGTTTGTCTCAACTGCCCCTTTCAGGAGGGATAATTTCTCTGCTTCATCGTCAGATAATGGATGATTGGCTTCAATGGTATAAATCTCCCCTTCGGTAACGTCAACGTTCTCTTGACTTTTAGCCAACTTCATCTGTTGTTTGTCCAAGAGTGCGACGATTTTCTTCTTTCTGGAGGCCAAGGAAGCTAGTTGTTGTTCAACATTCGCAAGACTGGCTTGAAGTTTTTCTACGGACTCGCTCACTTTTTCATATTCCTGTGTTGCATCATCGAGGCGTCGTCGTGCATCAGAAAGTGACTCTTGGTGAAATTCTTTAGTCATCTTGGACGATCTTAAAGCATCGTAATCTGCGTACGTCTTGAAAAAAGCCTCAACAAGAGCCTCTAAGGTATAAGTATCAATAAGTTTTCTTTCTTAATTTCCTCAAGACTCAAAGCAATACTTTCCTCCAACTTTGTGAAGCTATCTAGAGAATCAAGAGAAAACTCTTCGATCCATTCACACAAGATATGCCACATTGTGGTAACAAAAGAAAGTTTAATACGGGAAATAGTCTCTTGTGGCTTAAAGTTTGGAGCATCAAGATGCAACGACCATGGAGTAGGCTCGAAGGTTTTTAGACGTTTTGCTTGACTTGCGGCAACCTCCATCTTACTCGTCATGGCTGGCTTGGAAAGCACAACATCTTCTGGAAGAACGAGGTGCGGCTCTTTGGGTAGACTCAAATCTGTCGACGGAGCATTGTTTGCAGCATGATGTTCAACACCATCAAATAAAGTGTGAGGACTTTTTGCGGCCACACCGAGGGAATTTGGGCTTGTAACACAGTCTTCCACCGTGTCTTCACCAAGTACGTCATCATACAACTCATTGACGCCCAACTACAAAAAAAAAAAACAGCAAACTTTAGTGTTAAAAAAAGGGAGTAAATTTGAAGGAAATAATATTTACTCGTTTCTCCAGTTCAGACAACAACATCATTGAACTAGGGTCACCCTCTACGAAAAATCCAGTATCGATACTAAGAGCATCCAAGTCAGCAAATTCACTATGGCTCGTGTCCTTAGCCTTCTTCTTTGAACGATTCCAATGTATGTCTTGACTAACATCACTCTCGTTCGAACTGGAAGTGGCACTAACATTCAAAATCTCATTGGGCAAAGCAGAAGCTCGAGTCCTTTCCTTGTTTGTTGGCACGACGTTCGTTGTCTTCGCAATATTTTTGTTTGGTGAAGTAGGAGGCGCTTTCCTTTTGCAAGGATTATTCATCACCTTTACAGTGGCAGTAGTTGTCTTGGAAGTCAACAAAACATGTTTAGCTCCTTTGTCCACATGGGCTTCCCCGCCCGTCGAAGGGGTAGACTTGGGTAAGACCTTGGTGCTTGGCGAAGGATCTTTCGATCTTAACTCGGACTTGGAAGACCCTTCGTGAGTGTTCTTTTGATGTTGATCATCTTTGGAGGGTAAAGGAATATCATCTTTCCTTGGAACTTTCAAAATGATATGAGTACTTTGTCGGGAAGAGTGCACTCGATGAGCTGACCACCAATCTGCATACTCACGAGTCATTAGAGGTCCCTCTTCTGATGGACGCGTAAGGACAATAACCTTTGATGAACCTCCAAGACAAACACAGGAGTCCCAAAATTGCACTAACATTCTCAGTGAGCCGTTATAGGGTCGCTCTATGAGGTTGCCAGGAACATCTTGACAAAAGCC